TTAATAATTATTAATGGAAAAACTGAAGATGTGCATACTTCTTGTGAAACGTTTTATCTATTGACTAGTAAATCGTATTTAATATTTTTTTAGTTGGGAGACAACAATGTATTATTAATGTATGACATTTATACTCATGCCATTATACTATGGAGAATAAATTGARTGCGGTTGACTCGCTACTCAGTATATTTTATTATACATATATAGACTGGCCAATGTTATATTATTCAATCGGTTTTTTTTATTTCAAATCCCATCCGTATGACAGCGTAATCGCAGTATTCGTACGAAAGGAGAAGCTACATGCGTGGAATACGGGTGCCACGGTGGGTTATGTTATCGTCGTGTGTGAATATTAGGTACATAGGTATATATATATGATATTATATACGCGTAAATCCTCGACTGCCAAGACGCTTTCACCCGCACGAAACGTCGCCGTCGCGAGAAGTCTCCCGATTAGAGAGAACGGTTTACTTGGTCGTCATCGTCGGGTTGTGCGATCTACCGTATAAGGACTCACTTTTCACCGGGTGCAACGATTCGACTATGACCACCTCGTAGATTTCCCCTTTCCCCGCCCTGTTTCTCATATCGGAACTAGCCGCAAGTGTACATAATATAATGTAAATATTGGGTTGGATATAATGATGTTTACAGGGCAATCTTTTAAGCACGAAAACTACAATTTTTCTCGTTTCACACTCAAAACAGTTTTCCCGAGAAATAATATTTAAAATGTTCTTCATTTTTCCAATATATTGACAAAACGTAAAAATATAACTATATAGGTAATTAGGTATAATGTCGTTAGTTTGTGCTTTGCACCAATAAAATGACGTTTGATTTTTTCTGCGCGCGTTATGTATACTTTCATCCCATTTTTTTTTTTTACAAACAACTCGCTTCTATTTAACGGAAAATAATGTGTTTACTCACTGGTAGGGGTATTGCGTGGAATTCACTTTGATGACGGTCGGTGGAAAGGAAGCGAGCAACAGACCAACCGGTAGGATAGTGGCCAACACCTTGAGCATGCTCCTCCATGGGTCTTTTTTATGAACAGTCGTGACGMTGTGATAGTTTTTGAGCGGTTCGTGTATGATGTGTGACGGATATTGCGACATCTCGTTCACCTGATACTTTCCGAAATGCCTTTCGTAGTAGTTGTTGTCGTAAGCACTGGCGGGTAGCATCCCACCGAAATCGTGTTTCATAGGCTTGGACTTCTGCAGAGGTAAGGAAATATCGGTAAACTTATACGGACCCCTTGACTCCGGTCCGTTAGATCGGTTGTTGTCATGTTGCGAATATCGGGAGTAATATTCTTGGGTCGCTTGTGGGAAAACTACTATATTATTATCGCTGGGTTTCGGTGGCAGTTGGTTTGTTTGATTATTGGGCCTTGCAAAGTATTCAGGTTTGTGGAAAACTTCGTGTGTAACTTGCGGACTAGGCCTTTCAAATATAGGGTTGCCGTCGGGCCTGTAATAATTGCTGGGCTTGAAGTCTTCGTAAACCACGCTGGGACTGTACGACGAAAAATTAACTGAAGTTTGAACCGTCACGGCACTGGATTCAGTAACTGGTGAAATATTTTCTAAGCTCTTGGTTTCTTCGGTAGTAGTATCGGTCGCCTCTGTTGTGGTCAATACGTCTACATCGAGCTGTGGCCTCTGATAGGAATAGCTGACGAAGATCAATATCGAAAATATAACCTATAAACATCATACATTATAAGACRGGCCAACTACAAATTACCCACATCGTATTCAATCAATTTATATAATGTAGCTTTATAATACTTACTTTTTTCATATTCACAAACAATAATAACATATTACCTATTCGAGTATTTGGGTACTTATTATACTCCTTTACACTGTCGCTCATCGAATTCRAATGAGACAAAAGACGGCAATATATATTATTTCTAGAAGCCCATGCACATTGTTCATACTCAAGACACGGAAGAATATACAAATTAAGATCGYAGTGTTATCATATATAATATATAATAACGGTGTAACATCAAAATTGACATAATTCACTTTCTTTTAATTTTGTCATTATTTTTATTGTCTCTGTAGTGGTATAGAATATGTACATCTGATTCTGATGTAACTTTGTCATGTATATTCTATTGTAGARCAATTATTTTTAAAATACTTAGTACGCTCGTTTAATTGTATACACATAATTCGTTATTATTTTCCGTCAAGGAAGGAAAATGCTTATTATTTACCTCACAAGAATATATAATTTAAATTTATATATTTTGTTCAGTGGTTTTATTTATTTCGGATTTTCCATACAAATTKAATAGTTTAATATTTTTATACGCTGTGGTCAAATAAAAACCTGAAACGATTTAACGGTATAGAAATCACAAGTTAAAACTGGTTGCGCCAAAGGATACCTGTCATCTCTTGTTTTTCAGAATGTGTCATTATTAATTACACCTAGGCTTAGGTAATTTCATGTTTTTTTATTGCTACATGACTAATAATAATAATTTTTTAATGTTGAATTTCATTCGTTTCTGTGAAAAAAAATATAAATTTACATTTTACTTTCACTTTTCCTTAATTGCAATAAAACATCAATGCAATGAAAAATAATGTTTAAAAATATTTATATACGATTAATTTATGGGATTTAGAAAATGTTAATAAATTAAATGTTTTGATTATTTAAGTATACCTATGTATAATTTATAAATATTAGAAAAAAGATTCAATTGATTTCTTAACTTCTATGAAGATTCGAGAGTATCTCTATCAAAGATATTTTTAGGTATATTAACTTATAACATTAAAAATACGTCATATATAACCACACATTTATTTTGTATTAGTTATTTACAAAAAAATGTTATTTTAAGCATTTAAACTATTTAAAGAGCATAGTTTAAAAATAGTTTACAAGTATTCTGTATAGCCCTTATAATATTATAAAAATAAGATTTTCTCGCTACCTAGTAATAAACTAATTTAAAATTATATTGTAAGGTCGCGACTCAACACCATTCAATAGGTAGGTTATGTWAGGTATTTATAAAGAATAATTTAATGTTCACTATTTAAAGGTACTAAAAAGAATCTTAATTTGTAAGTATATCATAGTTCAATAATTGTTAGTTATTTTTATCTTTAGAAAACGCGTATAATATTTCAAGAATTTTTTTTTGGAGTAGAATATTTAATTATTAAGTAATTTGTTTTATAATTAATAATTATAATTAATTTGATTTATAAATTTTTAGTAAAGTGTTGAATTGCTGTTATTTATAACTTAAAAATATGCCTTAAGACTTATTTATACATTTACATACATAAACACTCATTTTTGTGTGATGTACTGGTGTGTATCATATTAGCTAATAATGTATGTATTGCCGTATAGGGAGCTATAACAGACAAAGATAGTAATTTGATGAATCAAATAATTAATTACAAGATTTATTTTTATCACTTCACGAAAGTTTAATGTTTGATTCAGTTGGGTAAATCTAAATACGAAGAACGGCAATAGCATTTCACAATTTTAGCCTTCTTCAAATACTAAATTAGCTCAATTTTTTCCTTTACTAGTCTGCAAGATATAGTAATATAGTAATATAATAATATAATATATATTACTTTGGTTATAATGAAAACTCATTCAGTCATTCTGCATTCATAAACATATTATGTTCAAAAATACATTTTTTATTATTTTGCGCCTATAAATTGTAAGATAGACAATTTGGATACATAGTAGTTAAATAATAGTATAATACTATTTATACTTATTTAGTTATAAATTACATATATWATTGAGTTAAGTAAAAGCACTACAGTGCAGTCCTTATATCATTTATAATACAATTTGGCACATATATATAACCTAGGTATTAACTATTAAGTATATTTAAGTATTTTCGTATGAATTTAAAAATAAATATTAAGTAGGATTAGCTAAAAACATATTTACAAAATAATTCAAAATTATATATAGGTAATATAAAACATATAAACGATTGTTTTATTATTTAATTTTATTAGTATGAATATTGAATAACTAAGCATAACCTATTAAACAATATGCAATAGTACAAATTTTGAGTGTGGAAAAATAACGATTTTACGGGACTAAATATAGGCAAATTATAAGACTTTATTTTTAAATGAGTTCGAAAAATTATTATTAATTATTCATAATGATTAAATTATAATAGTTGTAAAATAATTTAAGAATTCAAATTTAATTTATTTATTATAATTTAAGATAATCTTTGTATTTTACTGTATCTCTGTTTCAGATTTTGTCTAAACATTTTTGTACGATAATTATTGTAAAATTCTTATAATAATGATAAGTTATAATTTTAGTATAATATTGTAAATTAAATTTTATGTATTAAGCCCTTCAAGATTTAATTCAATCTTTAAATGTAGCACTTCTATTCTCTATCTAGACTAATATTTAAGACGTGTTTTAACGAAAAAGTTATTCACACATTTTGAAATATACTATTGAAAAGAATTCATTATATTCAAATTAATTCTTGAATAAAAATAGTTAAACATGTATATCAAATAGTTTGTACAGTGAAAGCGGTTAAATACATTTCAAACTTATAAACAAAACYATTTCGTTTCAACTCTTGAGCCGTGATTTTACAAAAATATCTGTTACTCGTGTRTGACGATCGAATACAGTAAGTATTCGAAAATAAACGATTTTGAGCGTTTGATATGTTATAATAATATTATTACGATATGCTATTCAAACACAAACAATGTGTTTATACGACGCTTTTACTTTATCAATCGGCGACGTCTCAAAATCAGCCCTTCGCTCGACAACACTTGTCATTCACGTACCGAAGACGATTGCGAKAATATCAATCTGCTACTGCTTGTGATCCATTTGTCCATTACAAAATAATAGTTATTTATAAATTCTACAGCAACAATACTGATACATTATCATTATTATATCATCATATTACTACATTAGTGAGTACCGATCAACCATATTATAATAACGTATTTTCATATAGATTTCATATGTTGTTACTTCCGTATGCTTTAGAACATATTTCTTTTTTTTTTAATTTCGTTCAGTTGAAACTTTGAAAGTAATTGCTCAAAATGTAGGCACCGTTATTATCAGTTAAGTTTTGACATTTTCTAATAAGAAATACAAAATAATATGTTTTATTAGCTGAATAAAAATGATAAATACTTACGAGTTATAATGTCTAATAGGCTACACATTTATAATGTAAAATAATTTAAGAATCATATATAATCATTCTTTTTAAAAATGTACGTTGTACAAGTATTTAATTTTATTTAGATATCTTTATGCACAATTAAATTGAAATTCACATTTTCAAGTGGTATTCAGTTAAATAAATGAAAACAATTTGTTTTTTTTTCTGATAATTTAAATTAAACTGCAGGCCATGGAGACGCCGGTGACCTGTTTCGTTTGCCTACTGCTGTTGATTATTCGATCCATTTCGGGACACGCGATCGACGAACATCGCGGTGCAGAGGACTACGGAGCTGACCAGAAAGAGAATAAACTGCGAGATATAAAGCCGGAGTCTGTGTTAATGGGCATCGCCAAGACATTGATCGGTGGCAAAACGGGAGCGGCCAGTGGTCAAGTATAAATACAATAGTATTTTATTTCATTTTATTTCTCGCAGGCATGCATATATATAATACATAAACCAAAAATAGGATTAATAATATTTTTCGTTATTAGAAATTGACACGTGTGAAACGTATTATTATTATACATTTAGAACCACTACTGTATAGATCGTGATGTATACCAGAGGTCAGCCCGGGGTTTCTGCAAATTGTCCTCTCTGACCACTTTGTCCAGTCCTTGTAAATTTTTCAAGATGGCCAACGGATTTTGCGATCTGCCCGACATCTTGGCTAGTATTAAAAACAAATTACATTAGAATACCCTGTCGTAAAATTTTTCGGGAATCTTATTTCTAATGTTATACTTGGGTTTACTGTTTATGTTTATAATATGGATGTATTATTACTTGCTATTTACTTCCACTTTCTATTAATTAATCAAAATAATGACACAACATAGTATATATATAAATACAAGTGTCTTTGTATAAGTTACTTTGTTTTACACTCACAATACCACCTATGCATGTGACTATTATCTGGCTTATATATTTAAAATTAATAGGGCAGAAGACTTTKAACCCTAAACGGATCTAATTTATCTATAAAAACACTAATGAATATCAAATATACAAGAACCAATATTATATATAATTTCAGAAAAAAAAAACAAGAAATAATCATTTGGTGTTGACAGCAGGTATCACCTATAATATAAAGTATCATGAAAACAAATGTTTTATTTAGCTTTTTCTTTAAATACAATGACTAAATTCATTTTATACCTATATCGTATAGACAAATAAATGTTAACAACTTTTTAAAAGGTAAAAGTATCTACATACTTTTTCCAGAAATATCAATCAMCTATTTCAGTTTAAAGTTATTTAGATCAATACTATAGTTTAATCCAATATTTTTATTTTATTTTATTTATGATAAAGGCTTTAACATCTTGAGGTTATTAGCCTACAATTGTAACAAATTAGAACASCTTGAAATCCAATATTTTTTTCTAAAATAAAAAAATTTAAAAATACTTAAATACGTCAGAAAAAATAATATTCCTTGGCATAATTATAAAGAAATTTAATAATTATGAAAYATACAAATGTTCCGGTATGACTTTATCATCTTATCATGTAACAAACTAATTTATCTGGCGACATATAGATAGGTATCTAGCACGACAACAAACAAGCAAATATTATTGAAGAGTCATCTGCCCTCTTTATAACGATCGCTCTATTATACAATTATATTTAATAATAAATTATACTCTGCGTTTATATGTCATATACCTAGTTGTATATACTTATCATGCACGGTATAACTTTTGAACCACGTCATATATAATAATAATAATAATAATAATAATAGTACCTATGTATTATATACGTTCGTTTTGTTTACAGTCGCTCAGCTTGAACATGTCGAATATAGTACTGATGTTGGTGCTCAGGGGTCTGATATGGGGCGTGTCGTACATGCAAAATGGAGGCGGTGTCAAAGAAGCACGAAACGAGGATTCGACCTCGACCGCGGTCGGGGGACTGTTCCAGGACATGGTAACTGAAACCGACGTGATGCTGTTCCTCGGATACCTGGTGGCCGATGAGTCGGGCCGGTACGATTGTCTGAACCGAGTGGCGTGCGAGCAACCGGAGCGGGCGGAGAGCTATCTCAGGACCGCCGAAATGGTCTGGAAAACTGCGAAAATGTTTGACGGGTAAGGTRCACTCGCCGGTCAAAGGATCATACTATTATAAATGCAGTATGTTATATTAATTGTACGAACAATTGGGTGATGGATGCTAATCCCGCTATAATTATCCTCAGTGGCTCAGTCGTGTCTATATATTTTATAATAAGTAGTAAAAGGTATATAATATATACATTAGCGAGATCAGAGTCAATGATTTCTCAAAGAGTTTAAAACAATATCATCAATTTATGTTCTTTTTGTCTCTCATCTCCATACGACCACATTCCAACATTGCACCACAATACGCAYTACAAACGTCGTTTGCGATGGTCTTAAGATACCTATGCTTTAAAAAATTAAACGTGATGATGATATTTAAATTTTAAACTACATCAATATTGACATTTTCAGGGTGATAACGTTGGACGCGAAGTACGAGAAAACGTTGAACAGATTGCAAGAGGCCATCGAGAACGGAATGGCGGTCGGGGATTGCGAGTCAAAATATAAATGSTTTGGTCAAACTGTTACCGACAACTTCAAAATCTAGATGAATTTAATTTATATGTTATTTAATTTATAATTATATTTAATAAATATCTACCTGACCAATAACCTTAAAAGCAATTGTTTTAAATTAATTGTGGAATTAATAGTTTGACCGACGGTGACGAATATGCTGCGCACAATCTGTGGATAAACATAAACTTTTTATTTATTTTACATAGTTGGTAAATGTGTATTCACTAATCACCAATTAATCACAAATCAATTTTCATGGTCCTAATGTTTTGTGGTAATTTTATGATAAAAGCATTATCTGACAAAAAAAATTATTATTATTATTATTATTATTATTATCAAATTATTGATTCATCTCTTTAATAGGAGTTATATCTTAAGTTTAAAAAAAATATATATGGTTATTTGTTTTATTTTCCAACTATTTTGTACAAAAATACATCTATTATTTGTATACTAAAAAATGCGGTTTTTATTATTATTCTTAAAATGCAAAAAAATTTGTGCCGTGACCAGGATTCGAACCTGGGTTATTGCGGCCACAACGCAAGGTCCTAACCACTAGACGATCACGGCCGTACAGAAATATCAATTTACTATAAGATATGAATCATTAGGCCTCGATTGTTATACATATAATAATATTATATTATATTGTAACTAATAATAATCATATGATTTGATTTAATACTCTTATAATATTTTCAGTTTTCAGTTACCAATCAATATTATCGTAAATTATTTAGTTGATAATTGTTATGTAAATCAGTAAATGTTAATAGGTACTACTTTTCAGKTTTTCAATAAAAAAAATAAAATTTYAGTAAGAAAGAAAATAAGTGTTCCCTAAAAATGATTTTAGCGCCAAAAAAATTAAAGAAACAGTTTTTATTTACAATTACCGTTATAGATGTAAATTATAGGTATTGTATAGAAGAAYTGAAAGTACTTTTTTAATGTTATCAGTAATTGATTACCAAAATATAATTATTAATTGTATTGTATGTGTACCTACTTGTGCTTAAAAAAGGTAAGTGTAAGTACTCGGTAAGTCTTGACGTTATAGGAAAATTGTTATTAAAAATGCGCTCAATRCACCGATATTACCTCAAACATTTATTGCTGATTTTTATAATGGTTGGTGGTYACCCCGTCTTACTGTACCTTGTCATTACTGTTGTATTACGATTAATAATAGAGGAAAATCTGAGCGCTTCCTTCAACATTCAACATATTGCATTAGTACCTGAATAACAACTACGTGATTTATTTTTTTTCAAATTTGAAATAATTTACAACAAAAATAAAAACGTACTTTATACTTTTATTTAAAAAACCTATACTACAAAATTCCTTGTTGCCATTTTATATATTATTATAAATTTAATTAATGTATTCTTTTTAGGGTGGGCTAGTGGCGCGTATCTCACCATCCCTGACCGAACGCCACTGTTTTCCAACTAATAACTGTGAAAACTGCACAAAGTTAAACTTAATTTGAGTTATTTATAACTCAAAAAGTACTAGTTCAAATTTTGGTTTTGATGTGTCAACATTTTCAGAAAAATTATCTGCTAAAAAATGTACAGTAGAAAGGGGAAATAATTTTCATTTGGAAAACAGCAGTTTTTACTTCCGCAGAACATTTCTCTGATATACTACAAAGAAACACAAACATATTAAAACATAATCTTTAAGAAGGTTTATTTAAAAAATCTAAAAATCAGATTTTGGATAGCTGCATTATTGTAGAAAAAAAGCAGGTTAATTCAGAATTACCCCATCTAATATGTACCTATAGTATATAAACAAATTAAAATTATGTGATTGGGACCATCAACTTTATATTGATTTATTAAATATTGAATGTTAGATGCAATCAGACATAGGTTATTATAAATAAGATTATAATAATCTATTTTTGGATTTAAAAGTTTAAAGTTTTAAATGGTCAATATCTTTGTCACAGGCAAACAGCACACTTTTGGGATATAGCCCATATAGGTATTCAATATACATTTCTGTACTTTTCACGTCTTAAAAACAATTGCATTCCAAATGTGATYGCTCCATTCTATTTTCAAAATATTTTCTTAAGCACACGATTACAATTAATTCTAATTTAATTTACTAATATTCCTTTATTTGAAACCATAAACATGCGCACATGGGTAGATAGGTGAGCATTTGATGCCCCTGAACGGTTTAAATAGATTTGTTAGGGTCGAACAAGTTCAACTGCTAACCTGGGTCACCACCGGATGAAATAAAATAAGTTGTTTACCCAAAAAGTGTATTGAATAACCAAAG